CTCGCGAGTCGTCTCGACGTCACGACGGACCACACAATTTTAATATCTCCCTCATCCGCTTACCTTTGAGGTGGTGATGTCAATGACAAGCCAGGCAAAGAGGACAATCTCCTCCTCGTCGCTGCCTAGGTCTTCGTCGTGAAGACCGGTAGTCATGACGTACACGACGATCAAGTACTTCAGGTCGCCCATGGCTTCCAGTGGAGTGGATCACTGGCTTGATTATTGTTTGCTGCTTGGCAGACACTGATTATTCACGCACACTGCTGAACAGGGAACAGGGATGACACTGATAAGGGTCGGCGTTGCTGGCTGATGCTGGCTGATGTGCCGGGCTGAGTGAAAGTTGAGTTGAACTGAAAGTCGAAAGCTGCCTGAGCTGACAAGTGCAGGCTCTCATGCAGGCATTAGCTATCACAGTGGTGAGCGCGGCAATTCAGGTAGTGCGATCCAGCGAGTAACAACAATTGTGTCTCTTGTTGAAGGAGTATTATTGTAGTTTTCAGTGGTGCTTTCAATTTGTATGGTGTACAGCACTGAGCTCAAGGCAGCATCGATAAGCAGCGACTGGTCAGCGGCGTCGAGGGAGAGCACCGAAAAGACCACCGCCAATTGTCATTGCTTGAGAAGAGACTGTTGCCGCTGCTGCGGTGGCTGCTGTTAAAGCTGCTAATGCTGGCACCAAGTCGTCGTGGTCGTTTCTGCCGCCGCCGCCGCTGTCAAGTGAAAGCTGCAGTCGCACTGGCAATGACTGGTGCGACGCTGGTGATCGACGATTGTCAATGGTGGGCACTTCTTTGATCGATCAAACTTTCCCTTTTTCAATGAAGCTGCAGACAGTCTTTGGTGGCTGGTTCTGCTGGCCAGCAGCCGAAGCAGCAGCACAGCAGCAGTCTTCGCGGTGAACGGCTCGGTTATGGGGCACCACCATTTGCAGGAGTGCTTGTTCGATCGGACACTTCTTTCGATGGAGGATTCGAATAATGATGATGGTGGTGGTGGAGGTGTAGTTGATGTTGTTGGCGCTACTACCACTGCTTTGCCTGTTGCTGCTGTCAGTGCTGCAGGTTCGTCTGCCGTCGGCCGTGGCCAGGCAAGTAGTGAATGTCAGTGACGGTAAAGTAAGAATGGTAGTAGGGATGATGCGCAAAACGCCAGGCTCACTTGTTCAGCAGACTGCACTCTGCTCGTTCTCTTGCTCTCACTCCCTCAGACTGTCCCTTCACGTCGTCCTCGCACTGCTTCACTGACTCTGTCGTGTCCTGAGCTTCCAATTTTCTCCTGCAAATATTTTTACGTGTACCAGCAAGCGCGAGAAGGCTGGGCTGTGTGTGTCGTTGTCTCTACTGAAGTGAGAGGGAGCGAGAGAAAGAGAGTGGCTGTGTGCACCTTCGCTTGACCAAACAACTTTTCGTTTTTTCCTCGCCAGCTAAGAAGCAGCCGATGAGCAGCGCCTGACAGCATCAGACAAGCGAAGAGACAGGTAGACTGGATGAAGAAGAAGAAATGAAGGAAAGCGAACGTCAGACAGAGGCTTAGTAGACAAGAGCAGCAGCAGCAGTAGACGCTGTCTTCTGGCAGGCAGTGCACTCATCCACAGTGGCCGCAGTGGCCATTTATCGGACAGACAGGTAGATCGACCTGACAGTCAGGGGAAGATGATGCTTGTGCTGTCTTGCAACAGAAAAAGTGTGCACGCGTGCAGCCGTGCCCTTGCCACTTGCCCGCACTGCTGGCCCCAAGAAGCTCACTGCTGAGTTTAGTGTGCGGTCTCAGACTGTTCACTCAATAGACCTCAATAGTGGCACGATTGGCATGAGCATTACACATGATGATTATACACTGATTATTATTAATATAAACTATCGGATCAAAGGGACGGGTCAGAGAGACTGACAAGGAAGATTCATCTAGGTGGTTCACTTTCTAATTCGGTCCAGCTAATAGTCAAGCAATGCAGAGAATTCAGCGCAAAACCTGCCGCACAAGTTCAGGTGCATCAAAAATTGGCCACTCCATCAGAGAGCAGACTCAAATTCATTCAGCCAGCACTGTCTACAACACTCATAGTTATCTTCTTTCTTTTCATTCATGTGATCGACAGTGAATTGTGATGGCACTTGAAGACCAGCACAGTAGACAACAATGCTTGCACAGTGCTTGTGACACCGAAAGTTAAAAGAGAGAAGGTTTCCCCGGATGCGGCGTAGTGGACACAACTGACACAAAGCACACCTTTACGTCAATACGGGGGAGATGACCTAATGCCTGCTGACATAATGTCCGCATGGTTGAATTCCACTAAACAGGTTTGGGCGTTCACTAGCTAATTCCAACAGTTTCATTGAATAGTTCAGTTCACAGTGGCTGTAAAAGGTAGCTGTAAATAAAGTATCTTTTTGTAAATGAGTTTTAATATACCCTTAATCAATAAAACAAAATGCTGTTTTTATTTTATCAACAAGTGGATAAAAATCATAAATAATTTTTATTTGAATCGCCCTCTGTTGAAAGAAAAATAAAATTGACTTATGAAATCAGTAGTTCCTTTACTTCTAAATTGTTTGTGCGCATTATTGAGAATTTCCATTTAGCAAATAACAATTTGATTCTTGTGCTTACATAACTGGTTGCACTTGACAATATAATTTCCTTTTCTCGCATCAAACACATTTTTACATCTTAAGTGTGTTTTGCTTTAACACGTTCAGCTAAAGTTAACGATTTCTTGACATGTTGTTCACCCATTTAGTGCTCTGCACCATTGTCATCTCCATCACATTGTCAGCTTTCGCCACTTCTGAAGATCCTTCAAGATCCATTTTGAACGATCTTGCCTCAGGAAGTAAGGGTTTAGCGGCCATTGGCTTGATAAACCAGAAAGTAGTGGCTCTTTTTGGCTCTGTCCCAATCTCTGGCGATTCGTTTGAGCAGATGATCGTTTTTGACACCGACTCGACAGTTTTCTCCTCGAATGCCGATAAGCACATCGTCTCACTGATTGGCAACGGCAAACCGGTGAGCAGTCTTTGGCCAAAACTGTCATTTGCCTTAAAAAATGCAAGTATAAACATTCAACACTTGACGACAATAGCCGGTGACGGCGGCAGTGAGTACTTTTTTGCTGGAACAGAGGGCGACCAGGCAAATGTACTGTATGATCTAAAAACTGAAAAAAGCGTGATCAAAGCAAGTGGCATCAAAGTGAGCAATAGCAAGCAGCTGGTGTCTTCTAATAAACCCAAGAAATTCTACGACTTTCGTAATGGTGGTTCAAGTTACCAGTACTCACTGCACAGCATCAAAGGGAATCTTGCAAGTGGAGCTGCATCGTCAAACTCTGAAGATAACTTTAATTTTTGCATCAACCAAAAGGACTCTGGTTACGTGGCAGTGTTTAGCCAAAACTGCAAGGGAACAGTCGGCTGGCCGCTCGCAGGAGGCGGATTCTCTGATGGACAGCACTTTCACCTTTTCACTGAGAAGCAGGTGCTGATTGTGCCTATGAATGTAAAGTTGCAAAAAAGCAGCTTCAAAAAGAAAGGCAATGACAGCGGTGATGATGAAAGTGAAAGCCCAGTAAAAGTGATCTCTTTGACAGACTACTTTGGTATGTTNAAGGCAATGACAGCGGTGATGATGAAAGTGAAAGCCCAGTAAAAGTGATCGCTTTGACAGACTACTTTGGTATGTCGACATGACTTTGTTGGCTTGTTCTGATTAATAGAATAATATAATCTATTGCAGGTGATGGCACCATGGTCGACCGAGGACTTGCCTTTTTGAAGGGTCACATTCTCTATGTAGTCATCTGCGGTGTAGTCCTGGTTGTGGTGGTTCTTCTGTGCATCATGATATGCTGTTGCTGCTGTAAACAGGGGAAACAAAAGAAAGGCAGTGGCAGTGGAAGTGGGCAAAGTGGTGGTGACGAGGTGAGCGTCAGTGGCCATCATCATCAACACCACAGACCGACTAGTCACCAGCAGGGAAAGAGCAAGAACAGCAGTCACCCGCACTCATTTGCGCCCAGCAGCTCTCGTGGTGGTGGTGGTGCTCACAGCAATCAGCACAGCAATCGCCCTCACAGTCACTCCAACCCTCGCCCTCAGGTGACTCATCTAGACAATAGAAACTATGGACCGGGCGGTGGCAAATCGGCAGGAAATACGCCAGCAAAGAAGACGGTAGTGGGCACCTCAACTGTACTGCCCAGCTATACCACTGCTCTCGGCGGCGGCAGAAACCCTCAGCAGCAGAACAAGGCTGCAAAGCCCAAACCTAAAAGTGCAGGCAAGGCTCACAGCAACACAAAGAAGAAAACTTCAAAGATGACCAGCCGTACGACGCCGAAACAGCAAGGCCCCTCTAAAGTTGGTGCCTCTCCGAGTGTCACAAAGAGCTCAAGCAAGAACACTAGCTCAGGAAGGGGAAGTAGCTCAAGCAAAGGCAATAAGAATAAGAAAAAGAGGAAGCGAGGAGGAAAAATCCGTAGACATGCTGGTAGACGCGGTCGTCGACATAAGCTTCGAAAAGCTCGTCCGAAAATGCCCACGCTGATTAACGACACCCTGATGAACAGCGATGAAGCCATTCACCGACCGGTGCCTTCCAAAAAGAAGTGAAAAAGACGCTTAAAAATGTTAAGTATGCATTAGTAAAGTTGCATTGGATATTTCTCAAAGCAATCTGCATTTTTGAACTTTATAAATTGTACTCTGGCTCTCTACATTTCATTTTGGCGGCGATTACAATAATTTTTTTCAAATTCATTTAGTCTAACGTCGCCCTCTACGAGCACAGAAGAGAGTAGAAATTGTGTTTACAATTACAGATCAGCGTGTTTGTGTGCAACATCTGGAGAATCATTCTACAGTGAATTGAACTGCTCATGAATGAATTTAGGTGATGACGCACCTTACAAGGGTGTGGTAAACTATTAAATTGTTGAATCCTTTATGTTGCAATTTTTTCCGAAGATAAAACAAACAACTCACTGCAAAATGGGCTTAGAAACTAAAGTCGATCATCTCAAAGTCATTGTTTTCGATCTTGGTAAGTATCAAGTAATCCTAAAAACATTTGCTGTAAATCACTTTGAAATTTCAGACTACACACTGTGGCCGTTCTGGGTAGATACACACGTAGATCCACCGTTTCAAAAGAAGTAACAACCTAGTCAAACTATCACACACACACTGATACTCACGACGCTATTATTTTCTAGGGGAGACAAAGTGTATGATCGAAACAATCAGCATGTCACATACTACAAAGAGGTTCCAGCTGTTTTGGAAAAATTAATATCTTTGGGATACGAATTGGGCATTGCTTCAAGGTTGGTTACCCGCTTCAAAAAGCTCACATTTGTAAGCCCAATCATTTCTCTGCAGGACAGGTGCTATCGAAGAGGCTGAAGATTTGCTTCGACTCTTCAACTGGAACCAGTATTTTTCATACAAGCAGATTTATCCAGGAACCAAAACCACCCATATTAAAAGGATCTCCAAGGACAGTGGAGTCAAACTGTCAGAAATTCTCTTCTTTGACGACGAGTCACGGAACATTCGTGATTTAACAGCTATCAATGTCTGCAGTATTCTCGTTCACAGTGGAGTGACCATGGAGGTGGTGCGAAAAGGCATTCAAACGTTTGTGAATTCAAGTTAAAGGTGATCAGAGGGCTAGGTAAAGTAGGCTACTTTTATTGAATGTTATCTCTTAATTTGTTAATTTTTATTGTTTCCATTAATTATAAATAACGTGATATAAACGTAAATATGCAATACACCGAATCGCCAAGATGAAAATAATATAAGATAAGAAGAATAAGAGAGGGAAAGAGGGAGTATGTGGTAATAAATGATAAGAAGTTGACAGTGAAATACAGTGTTGAATTTTAAAATATTAATTAGTTAAGCTAATAAATTACAAATGAGATACCAACAAATGATCAATACTCGGGATGAGTGCATGCTTGGGCTTGTGAATTCAATCGGAAGTCAAATGGTGGAAAGCTTAAAAAGCGAGGAAGGGGAGGGAGGGAGGGNAATTAGTTAAGCTAATAAATTACAAATGAGATACCAACAAATGATCAATACTCGGGATGAGTGCATGCTTGGGCTTGTGAATTCAATCGGAAGTCAAATGGTGGAAAGCTTAAAAAGCGAGGAAGGGGAGGGAGGGAGGGGGCTGTTTAGCTGGTGGCAAAAAATCATCAATATCACAATGGTAATTTAGCGTAATGATTTAGAATAATGTGAAAGTATTGATTGAAGAGTAGATCATGAAGTGGGGTGTTGGGGTGGTGGTGGTGGATTTTCTGAGGGTGGTTGTCATCCAAAAAACTGTCTCCAAAGGGTAATACGTGTAACTGGAATATTTCATCTGAACATCTTTGAAGTGGTTCAAATTTCATATATTGAGACTTCCCAGTTATAAAGGAGATGGTATCGTAAATGTAAAGATAAAAACATCATTCTTCTCAAAAGAACCATTTTTGTGCTAATAATTTTGTACATTGGGCTTGTACATTTCAGTGTACCTTCCTTCAGTGGCATTTCAACAGGGGTGACCTACTTTAATTGCCATTAGCGGCAGCGACCATTGGATCCAGGGCAGCCTTCTTGCGTGGCGGCTGACCAACACCGTCTTCATTGGAGTTTCGCTTCACCGCACCACTGTGAACCATGTACACATGATTCTCAAAGAGACGATAAAGGTTGAATGTAGCAGAGCAGACAGTGCACTTGTAGGAGAGGTGAGCAGGTTTGAGATTAACCTTGTGAGTCTGAATGGTAAAGTAGTTTTTTAATTAATAAAAGTGTTGTTGAAAGCCTTTTATTACGCACCTGGTTCATGTGAGTAACAAGTTTGTTAGTGAAGACTCGGCCGCAAATAGTGCATCGGCCGCCGTCTTGGTTCTGATTGACCATGTCTTGCATGTTTGAGGTGACCAGACCGTGGGCGCCGAGCAAGTGACGCTCAAGACCCTGATCAGTGAAAAATCGCCACTGGCACTTTTGGCAGTTCAGCGGTGGTCGGTTAGCCAGCATTTTGGGGTGAATTCGTACCTGAAAGTATTATGAATTAGTAACCTGTATCAAAAATGATAGTCGTTGCCTTAACATTACCTTATGGATCCAGTGCATGTGAGTACGCAACTGATCAAGATCCTTGATGTAGCCGTCACAGATTTCACACATGACAAAATTGCCTGATTTCTGATTAGCAGGATCGTTTCGATTGGTGTTTGCCGCGGCACTGTTGCCATTATTCTGTTGCTTTGCAATCATGCTACTGTGCTTGTTATTCGAGTTGTTTGAGTTCATCGGAGGGGCCCGATTTGCCGAATTGGAGTTCATTTTCAGTATTTGCTGGTGTTTGCTCATGAGGTTGTTAATTGCATTCTGAGGTAAGTTGTTCAGATTGGCAGCAGCAGAGTTCTGCAGAAATTGACCATGAGGAGCATTGGAGAGCATCTGGTACAGTTGAGGCGAGAGATTTTTGACGTTCATTGGGTTCATCATGAAGGCTGACTGAGTGAGCTGACGCACCTTGTTAGAAGGCGCCTTTGAGGGTCTTCCAGGTCCGGCTCGTGGTTGCTGCTGCTGAATGGAATACATTTGTTGCTGCAAACCAGCAGGAAGGCCAGGAATCGAAGGAACTTTGTTCTGCGGATTCAGGGCAGCGAAACGCAGCGCCTGAAGCGTGGCTTCGTAAATCTTGATATCCTCCTTCGTAATCGGCTTAGGGGTGATCGTTGGAAAGTAGTCATCCTTATTTACAAGCAGTTTCTCCGGAACGAAAAACTTCAAGCACTTGGCAATGTGAGTGGCTGCCTTCGATTTGACGCCAGATTCGTAGGGGCAAATGGGACACTCGTAAAGCTGAGGTGGCAACTCGATCAAGCACTTCTTTTCATGCATTACGTTCACGTGTCCAGTGATGGTCTTTGCATCGCGAGTGGAAAACTGGCACTGATTGCATTTGTACTCTTTTCTCGAAGTCATGTGTGGGTACAGCAGGTGATTGTTAAGCACCGACTTGAATTCGGTTCGGAATTCGCAGTGCTCGCACTTTTCAGTTGGGAAGAGGTAAGAGGAATTTGCCGCTCGACAGGCATTGAGGTACTCTTGCTGCTTCTTCACTTCCTCAACCAAATCCTCGGCTTCTCCCTCTTTGCGGATTTGTTTGCGCAGTTTGTTAATGGCATCCTTGTGGTAGTACTGCTTTACTCGACTCAAGCCGATGCCTATTAAGAACTTGCCCACAGAACTCGAGTAGAAGTCAGAAATGGTCAGCATGTTTTTGTTGTTTGGATTCTGATTAGGCGCCATGCCCGGTGGATTGACACCCGACTTGTCATCCGCTTCATTTTTCAGCTTTGGAGGAAAGCTGTTGGCTTTCTTGATGATTAAAGGCACCACCTGAGATGGACAATCCAAAATGGAGCAATCCTTTTGAATGTCGGCGTCATTTTTCGCCGACTTGCTGATGGTAATGCATTCGCCTAGTATGACGACATCGGAAAGAAAACCGGGAAAGCCAATGTCTTCGAGTGACAACTTAGGCACCAACTCTTCAATGGCCGGAGCTTTAGTCGAGAGGTCTTTCACTTCATCGGCGTCATCAATGAGGATCTCCTCATTCTGTTTATAATTCTGAAATGAAGAATCACCATTAAGATCATGCCTGCCGCTTACAGTTTGACATTTCAACAACTTTCTTACCTCAGTTTCCATTGAGTCGATGTCATTGTTTTGAAGTCCGACCTGAGTCTTCATCGTTGGAGAGGACTTGAATGCAAGTTCTAAATGGCAGATAAGCCTTGATGGAGTGCACCGGCAAAGTGATTCTAGGGGCTGGAGACCGGTAAGTGGGTGTGGTGACTGGGTTCGGCGAGTGGGAGCGTGGCGTGGAGGCCGCGGCGACGACGAGGGCAGACTGATGATGAAAGCGAAGGAGAGTCAGTGGGCGCGATCGCAGCGGCGGACTTGGTCGCCTTTGTGCTCAATGCTGGCAATGCCAAAGTTGAAGTGGAGTGCCAACATTCACTGTAGTAGTACAGAGCTTATAGCCGAGGCTGCGGGAGGAGCTCGTTAGAAGGCCCTTTCACAGAGACCGTAACTTCCTTGAGCTCGAAGCACCTGGCCGGAATTACTTTATACTTGGTCCGCTGCTCTTGCTCTCTGCACTCGGCAGCGGTCTCCAGTGCTCCGCGGTGGCCGGCGGGCTCGCCAGTCCTCCTCTGAACATCTACGCACACACTGCAGGCCCAGTGGTATACCACCGCACAGAGCTTCGTTGTATATGTCAGGAGTACAGTGGGGATAGGATTTTTAAGAAAATCTATTTTATTTGCCGGGTATATAGGGGGAAAGGGCGTCCACTTGGCGTCGCTGTGTTCAGTATTGCAAAAATATCGACATTGTCTTTAGTAAATAAATAAGCTTTTGGTGACAATTATATGTACAGAGAGCTGGGCAATCACCGTCAGCTGTTTGCCGGCATCTCATATCGGCAGAATGAAAACATATACTAAACAATGGAGGTGTTTATTTTCCCAGCGGATGGTGAACTCGCGGTCCTGTAAGCTGTCCCAGTAGCTTCGGGTGGCGGTGTTCAGGCCAGCGCCATTCTTCTGGACGATGGCGCAGTTGACGATGTACTTGAAGGCCGAGTTTTGGCTGACCAGCTGCTGTACAACCTTCTCCACGATGGTCTCACTCCATACGGGAACGTCAGAGTGTTTGTACGGCTCGCTGCCAATCGTCGTCTCAATCACCTCCTTGGTGATGTGATTCACTTCTTCATCGCTAATCTGCGCCTTATCCAGCATCCTCGGATTAGGCCGAAATCAATTGAGTGAACTCACAGGTGACAATCTAGTATGTGTTGATCAGTCAATCGAAGTTTGGTGATGATACTCTAACGGACAATATAACCGCAGTCGGACAAAGCATAACAGAAGACAGCTGTTTCAGTGGCACTCAAATTGCTAGGCGGCAAAAAGTGGCGCTGCTCGTCTGCTCACTCGAATGCACTGCGCGTCAAATGATGAAATGCATTTTCTGAACACGGCGGGATTTACCAAAACAACCAAACTACACTTTGCAAGTTGTGTGTTTTGGAAGTTTAAACATCATTTTGAACTGCTTTCTAGTGATGATTTATGAATATCTTTTAGGAAGTAATGATGAAGTACTCCGAAAATAGTATACCCAATATTGGGCAAAAACGGTGTCGAAAGAACAATTCTGATTCAGTTTTCTTCGTCATCCTCATTGAAAGAAAGAAGACTGGAATTTTTGACTGATTTGATCTGACTTCTCTTATCAAGAAGTTTGCTGCATTCATCTGTTTTGTCGATCTTTTTAGATGAACTTTGAACTGCTTGCATACCTTGATTTGAACTTTTATCCTTGGTCGGCTTACGGAAAACAATCTTCTGATTTAAAGTGTCAATTTGGTTAACCGGTTCAAGGTCTGTAAACTGCTGAATTAGACAATGTAAAATTGACAAGATGAATTACAAACCGTCTTTTAGCTTTTCTTTGAAGGCATTCAACTCTGTCTCAGTAATGTTTGCCTCTTCGGGAATCACAAACACGGGCTGTTCATCTTCTCGATCAGTGACATCGCTTGTCTGAGCCTTTTCAAGTGCCGATTTCTGCACAAAAAAACAATTGAAGTCAGCTCATTATCAACTTGAATTGAGAAGATATTCATTTACTCATACCTTTGATTCAATTGACCCGGAATCTTGGTTTTGGTACCCGATTTGAGCTTTCATCTTTTTCAGAAACGATGGCTCATCTGGTCTAGAAAACTCAATGTTTCGTTTTCGCTGAGCCATGGCAATTAACTTCAACACTACTACAAACTCTAATTTTTTAAAGTGAGTTGTGGAGAAAAGCTAAAAGCAAACAATGATTTTAGAAGTTGTAGCCGATTTTATCAAAGGAAAGCTCTTTCAAAAGAATCAAAAGTAATTTTGACAACAAAAACAAATTCAGCTTCTCTAGAGTGTAAATAGCGCAGTTCAGTTTTTTTTTATTCCAAAATAATTTAGAATCGCCGCATGCCGCGAATTCTCCTCAATTTAATCCAAAACCAGAAACCAGGTGTATGCCTTCAGTGTCTAAAAAGGCGAATCAATTACAACTACTCAAGGACTGTCCGAGAAGACAAGTGCAGGGGTGTTTGGAAAATCCCCAAACTGTCCATGTGACTATTTCGTGCCACTCTCGAGATTTGCGATTGGAATTGGTCTATTTATACGAGACCGGCGAGAAAGTGAAGTCAATCGAAGTCTTCTTTGGCTGACATTGCCCATCCACTCGTTGCTTCAGTGCATCCCATCCAACGAAAAGGCTTTCTTCATCCTCATCACTCCGTCCTCCACAACATCGACATGGCATCAACAGCTGGTCAAGTAGGTGTTTCTGTTGTTCTAATTGAACTGCAACATTTTTCATTTATATGACCTTTTCCATTTCAGACCATTGAGTGCCTCGCCGCCGTGGCCTGGGAAGCAAACAAGCCGCTGCAAATTGAGACCGTCTCCGTTGCTGCTCCCAAGGCCGGCGAAGTGCGTATTCGCATCCTCGCCACCGGTGTCTGCCACACTGATCTGTACACCCTCAGTGGCCTTGATCCGGAGGGCATCTTTCCCACGATCCTCGGACACGAAGGTGCCGGTGTGGTGGAGAGTGTCGGCGAGGGAGTGACTTCGGTTCAACCTGGTGACCACGTTATTCCCTGCTACATTCCCCAGTGTGGCGACTGCAAGTTCTGTCACAGCAAGAAGACCAACCTGTGCTCGAAGATCCGAAACACTCAGGGTCGAGGTGTGATGCCTGATGGAACCTCGCGCTTCACCTGCAAGGGACAGAGTCTGTTCCACTTTATGGGAACCTCGACTTTTGCCGAGTAAGTTAACAGTTTTTTTGCTTTTGGTGAAGCGAACTAACTGTTTAATTTTTATCAGATACACCGTGGTGGCTGAGATTTCCGTCGCCAAAGTGAACACTGCTGCACCACTTGATAAAGTCTGCCTGCTTGGTTGTGGTGTAAGTGCTTTTACAAATGCAAGTACTATTTAATGACTAAATTGGCTTGTTTTTGCACAGATCTCCACTGGATATGGTGCCGCGCTGAACACCGCCGATGTTGAAAAAGACACATCGGTGGCCATCTTTGGCTTGGGAACTGTGGGGTTGGCCGCAGCCTACGGAGCTAAGCAGCGAGGTGCCAAAGACATCATCGGCGTTGACATCAACCCCTCCAAGTTTGAGGTTGGAAAAAAATTTGGTTGCACTCGCTTCGTGAATCCCAAAGATTATCCAGACCGGCCAATCCAAGAGGTCTTGGTAGAGCTGACAGACGGCGGCTTGGACTACACTTTTGAGTGCATCGGCAATGTGCAGACGATGCGTGCCGCTCTGGAGGCCTGTCACAAAGGCTGGGGCCAATCGATTATCATTGGTAAGTAGCTGAAGTAGAAAAATGCATTATCTTTCACTGACTGGTGTCATCCTTTCTTTCTTTTTCTGTTTTTTTCCAGGCGTTGCAAGTGCAGGACAAGAAATTAGCACACGACCATTTCAGCTAGTCACCGGACGAGTCTGGAAGGGTAGCGCATTTGGTGGCTGGAAGAGCCGAGACAGCGTCCCCAAACTGGTGGATGCCTACATGGCCGGCAACCTGATGGTGGATGAGCACATCACTCACTCGGTGAACTTGGAACAAATCAATGATGCATTCACCTACATGAAGCAGGGCGTCTCGCTGCGATCGATCGTCTACTTCTCCAAGAGTGCATAGAAACCGACGCCTCATTCGGGCAACTGCAACAGCGGCACCAACAGCAGCAGTATCAGCTGCATCGTGTGGCATCCACTTACTGTCAACTGCATCCTTCCTCACACATACAGCACACTCTTCTTCTAACATGAACAGCAGCAACAACAGCAGCGATTCTTGCAAATTTATGAGCATTTAAAGCAGTATCGTTTGGTTGTTGAGCATCACTGTACGCTAATAAAATGAGTTTGCATGAAGTGAAGCGGAAAGAATCGATTGGCTGTGTGTCAGTGAGAACAATGTCTTGCGGCAGCAGCAGCCTTAGTGTCTGGTTCTGCCCTGGAGAGCGGCTGCAGTTCTTCCACTTTCTCTCGACATGCAGCTAAATGGCAAATTGAATGATTGCATTGTTTTGCCGCTTAATTAGCCAACACTTAAGCCACCCAGATGCACACACACTTATATTTAGATTAGCGAAACCAGACACAAATCAGCCTTTAAGACTAAATTGAGCAGCAGCAATTGAGAACAATTGGGCGGCCGCCTTCAATGTCGGATGTAAATAACTGTCTGCATCAGGTGACGCACCAGGGCACTGCCAGTGCAATATTTGAGCCGGTCGATAAATTAATTGCCGAGGTAAGTGCTTGTCGCTTGTTAGCATAGCTGGGTCATTTTCTTAGCGCTGTACATTTTGAAATGTCAAACTGCAATGTCTGAGATGAAAATGCACGAAAGCACTGCATCTTGAGAAGTGTCATTGATTGGAGTAGACGGTAGACGGGAAGACAGCTGTGATCTGCTCAGTGGTTGCAATTAATTGAAGACGACAATTTGAAGTTGAATGGCCAGACTGGATGGAGGTTGGATGCATCGTCTTCTTTGCCAGTGTTCATTTGACTGATTGCCTCTATCAGTGTGTGCGGTCACCTCAACCGCTTACTCTGCCACTTCTGATGACACATGCAAATTGGTGCCTTACTGTTCAAGTAGTGCAGAATTTTATTCATTGCGAACATTCCATTCGCTGATTCATCCATTCACCCATTGCCATCGCTACACCGCCAAGTTCAAATTCATTGTCCCTTTTTAAATATAACCAGAAAAAACGAAAAAGAACATTTTTTGAATTACCAGATTATTTTCTCCATAGCAAGTTGTAAAACTGTGTCACTGCCCGTCACAGCACCGTTCAAGTGGGCAGCAAATCAATCAACTCATGCTAAAATGGTTCAACATCAGAAACTGACTTTTCACCCGTCTTGCCAATTTTATCGTCGTTGTGTTTATGACAAAGTTTCCTTTTTCTGACAGTATTTTTTGGGTTTTCATTGTCATCGTCAAAGTTTCTTTTTTGTAATGTTTTCTAGACAGTTATTGGAAGCGCCACTGTAATGAAAATAGAGTCATCGTAGAAACGACCATTGACCATCATAACTACAAGCTCAACTACTGTAGACCAACAGTTCAGGGGCATGTCTGTTCTCTTGAATTACTCACAATTTGGCCTCATTTTCCTACGCATAATTACGATAATATTCCGATTCGTGTCGGGTGAAACGGTGCTTTGATAGTGCCGTTCTGCCGTCGTTGCTGTCACTGAACAATGTGCATGTCACATGCAAATGGAAATGTTCCCCTAAAGCCATTACAGTGCCTTTCACAAGTTGTGTAGTCCTAATTATTGTTGAAAACTAATTGTCTCAGTTAAAAGATTTGCATTGCACAAAGTATTATTGAGATTAATTTTAGTTGAATTTGAATGGTTTGTGTCTCGGTCACTGTAACTTTAGCAACATAAGCTTTCTCAGGCGCTGAAGTGGACTTGTGCCAATAATAAATACTTTAGTTGCAAACCTGAAACTTTGAAACCATCGCAGTAGCTGGACACTTTTCAGGTCGGTTAAAACTTGAACTATCACCAGTGAGCAAGGGTTGGCAGTAAAAACCGCAGCTGTTATCGAATATTGATCAAAGTGATTGATGGGACTTTTATTAATTTTTATTATGAATGAATAGCTTTAACTTTTTACTTTTATTAATAACCAGCACTTGAATGAAATGACAGCTTTCTGTCAATTGCACACAAAACTCACATTCTTTTACTTAAAACAATAGATACGCTGGCTAGTTAACAGCTGCTAATTTCACCTAATACAAAAAAACTTTTTTGCAAGCAAGTCATTTTCTAGTAAAAAAACTAATAAAGGTTTCTCAATGATGCTCAACTTTCGGCCAACTGAGTGCTATGTCTAGAAAAGTTTGTCTTTTTACTCGATTGTTTGCTTGTAGAAGATTGCCTTAATTTTGCCAAGCGAGAATCGATGTGGATCGCTGCATATACTCAGTCTAGTTTAGTTTACTGAAATTGCAAATGCAAATCACCAACTGCTTCATTATTCCAATTCTAACATCAACTGAAGGACACTCAATTCACTTATTGAAAATTGTCCACCACCAAACCCTTGCAAATTACAGCAAATCAACAGCACAAACAAGCCTCGATATTTGCCCAAAAGTATTTCAGAACTGCTGAACAGTGCACAGATGTGCAAGAAATGCGGGGCTGGCGGTGAATGAAAACCATGCAGCAGCGTCGGCAATAATTCAACAGACAGTAGCATAATTTCCACTGCGACACATTCAAGCACTCTTCGAAGATCCTCACATAACACAACAACAACAGCAATATCATCTTCACTTCATGTCCCCGAGCAGCCACTTGTACTGCCTGGTCCTTGGAGACAGCGATGCCACACAATGACACATCTGTGTAATCGCCTTGCTAGCACTGGCAGATCTTCTCAGCAATCACCGGCACTGTCCGGCGCTATCTCCTTCTCTTTCTGGCGAGGATGACGATCGACAGTCGAACGCTGATAAAACCGAGCATCATTCCTTCTTCTTCTTCTTCCCTATTCATCTTCATTTTTCCTTCATTTTCCGCGGCATTGCGCCCCTCAGTGCGTTGCATAATTGCCATTATTATTATTCTAATTCTCCTCAAATGCAAATGTCGTCTCTATCAAAGACTGCCTGCCAGTCTGAGGCCGCCGGTTGGTTGCGTGCTGATAGAGCTGTCATCCTTAGCAGTTGTTATTAGTACAAACTAACTTGTTATTGCCAATAAATTCAGTGCACTTCTGCATCACTTCACATCACTTACAGGCCTTCGTTCTTTCTCCCACTTTCCCATTCTTGTCGTCTTCTTTTCACCGCTGTCATCTGAGCGCACTTCCCTTTGATGTTTGCTATTGTGCAATTAAAATAAATCATCATCCTCATTCCTGCTAGACACAGTAAGCAGGCCATTAATTGTGCAGATAATTAATAATTTAAAGTTGAGAATGCAAATACGTCTAATTATAATAATTCAGCACTACTAACTACCCGAAGAGTCTCAGCTGCCTCTTTGCCCCCCAGAACAACAAGAGTGCAACAAACCGCGCTCAGCAGCGAAACCTGATCGTCCAGTCGAGAGTTGAGCAAATATTTACCCGAAAAGCGGTACAGAAATAATCCCCAGCTCTTCCGACAAGATTGATTGCCGCCGCTGCAGCCGCCGACTATTCACGTAATGAGACACGCTTCTGATTAATAGAACAATGATGATCAGAACGCATAGCCGGAGAGGGTGGAAAGGAAAGGCTGTGGATTGGATGATTGGTAAGCAAACAAAACGCAGGCAAGTGGCAATTAGAAGTTTGCCACTTGGGCGCGATCAAATAACTTCCAGGCAGTGTCAATTCACAACCGTGTGCAGAAGAAGAAGAGAGGGAAGAAAAAAGAAGAAACGACCTTTCGCTTACGCTGCAAATTGTCGTCGGTGAGAACAGGCAGAGAAACAGTTAAAACAGCAGCAGCAGCTGTAGTCCGGTTGATGGTGGAGACTGAATGAAGAGAAGGCAGTCATCGGTATAATCGCCTACCNTCGGTGAGAACAGGCAGAGAAACAGTTAAAACAGCAGCAGCAGCTGTAGTCCGGTTGATGGTGGAGACTGAATGAAGAGAAGGCCGTCATCGGTCTAATCGCCTACCGGTGCAAGATTCGCAGGCATTCTCGACGGCGGTACAACTTGCAAGCGAGTGAAGTGGAAGAGCACTTGGTTCTGTCCCGATTCAGAGAGTCCTGTCCTGTCGCACTAATCTCCCTATGCTCCAACTTTTATTACCTCTGTCCACTCTGCATCAGTCGATAGTTCGGGGCGCCCGTACTCGCGCATTAGTTTAGTAATTAAATTCCACCTCGTTGTCGTTGTTGTGAGCCTGTCGCCGAAAATTCAAACAGAAGAGGAGGGGAAATCAGTTTAAATCGACGAGGACACCGCACTGCACTCACATGCACACACACAGAGGCCCAATGTACTTTTGGTAGTGTGAAGAAGGCAGCGCACATTCTGACAAGACTCACTCACATTCCCTCTCTTTCTCCCAAAGTGTCCATAACGTCTTTATGTTTATCGACCTCATTATCTCAGTCTTAGTGGCAGTGTCGGTCGGTCGGTCGGTAGACTGCGGGCAAATTCAGTAAAAAAAATGCAAAGTAGTGTCGGCATTCCCTTTGGAGCGTCACACTCAATGGAATGCACATCGCTCAAATCGCACGTAGAGCATTCGCCGGCACCGACTAATGCAACTCCCCTTCGGCACAGGAGCATCGTTACAGATGCTGAGTGAGACGTCGTCCAGGATGGAGCTCACCGAGAACATCTGCAGTAATGGTCAGATGCAGTAGCTGCATCATCAGCAGCAGTCTCTTTGTTCCTCCTTCTCCTTCTCTACCCAACTCGTAATTTAGCAGGCCCAGCAGAAGATGAAGCTCAAATTGACTGCATGCATGAACTTGGGTAGTGCAGAGCAGAATTCTCTGCTTCACTCTGACTGTTGAGTAGCTGCGGTCCCACTCGCTTTGTTTCTTTTGCCTACCAGGACAGATCAGCGCTGGCAGATAATGGCACAAGCTGACTCGGCAGTGTTCACTTTGCCACTGACTAGCCGCTGACGTTTTGCTTTGCTGGTGCCAGGCACTCGAAGTTCCAGGCTCGATAGAGAGTGCCATTGTTTGTCCGCCGGCCAACGCATTTGCACCGACACAGTTGATGACGCTGTGCTGTAGTGGACTGCTGCTGTTGCTGCTGTACACTTGGCCAGTGCCATTCAGCCCTTATCGTCTGCAGGCCCACCAGGTGATCCACTAGCCGTTTCAGCATGTTGGCCAATTGCCAATTTGTCATATCATGGCAGAGAAGAGGAGCGGTAATGAGCCCATTATGGGCAGTACAATACACTGCAAAGTGCAGAAACCATTGCTGACCAATAAAAAGAAGAAGAAAAGAAAGAGAAAGATGATGATGAAACTGCCTGCGCAATTGGACAATAATAGCGGTGGTGGCCACTGGGGCAGCCTTCATCAGGCGGCGTTCATCTCCGGACAGTCGTTATCAGCACCTGGCCAAGCAATTCTACTCTGCCTGGTAGTGCTGGTGGTGCTGGGTGACGTTCGCTGTTTGCAGACAAACAGACATCGATGGTATATATTTTGTTGCCAAGTGGGCAGTGTATCTGTGGGGCCAGTGTTTGCGCTGGAGAACAGGAGAAGCCAGCTCCTGGCACCTCGAACAGTGGCAATTGCAATCAGGCTGAGGTTGGCTGATAAATCGAGAGGCATTTATCACTGCTGTCCAAACTGAGAGCTTGTGCAGAATCAGCAAACAGTTCAGCTGCACTGAGTGACCAGACAGGGCAGGGACTGTCGCAGTAGGTCGCCTGGTCAGTCGGTGGATTGTCGCATTAATGGGTCGCACTGTGGCGGATTACTGCTATTTGAATATATGGTGTGTTCTGATGTTGTACACCTTGTCGGGTTTGAGGGTGCTGGTGCTGGCCAATCGTCAGCAAGCGATCAGCCTGCCAAGGCCCCTCTTGCCTGCCACTTGGAGCTTTACTTGAGCCATTGCTACTGCTGCTGCTGCTGCTTCTTCTTCGAGCACTGCAGCACTGCAGCACTCTTCGACTCATTCTGCAGCAGATTTGCTGGGAAGCCGACGCTTCAGCAGTGTGTTTGGCGAAATCGGGTGGCAGTTGGTCTGCAGCCGTCTACCAGCAAACAACCAGCGTGGGTCACAGCAGCCAGTCTGTGCTTGCAGAGCTGGGGAAACAGTGTGTGCTTCGCATTGCGTATATAGCCGACGAACCTAACCGATTGTGTCCACATACTGCTTCGCGTTTCTTCAGTCGTCTCCGCCAGAAAGTGTACAACTCTTGCACGCAACCACGCACTACTCGATTCGCCAGTTTTCGCTTTTGCCGCCAGTGACAATTGGCCTGTTCACTTGAGGTGCCACAAATCTTACCACTATAAGGGTGTGCTGTGCTCCCCTGCCTCTTCACCAGTCTGTGCTTCTGCTGCTGCTCATTGAGAGGATTCAGCGAAATTCGTTCGAAGCGAGTGTGTGTGTATGTGTTCGGTGCACAAGTTGATTCAGTTCGTCTGCTGCAGTTGCCGAGTGCGAGTCTACGCAGAACACGGGGCCACCGTTCTTTTCAATTGAATTGACGCGCGCGCCAGTTGAATTTTTAAATCAGCGATCTTGACACGACCACTCACCACTCACCACCACCGCCAACATCCCCACCAGACTTTACGCACTCTTCCTCACTGCACAGTTGTCGCACCTGTCAAGTGGAACTTGTGTTGCTTTGCATCCTACTCACGACTCAAGACTTAAGAAAAGCTTAAGACATGGCCAGCTCACAGCTCAACAACGACAAGGCCAACGGGCAAAACTTTATGCGCCAGTTTCGCGACAAGAACACTCGTCAGCTTAAGAACCTTACCTCCACTCAATTCATGGAGATCTGGGGTCACTACGATCACGACGGTAAGTGGATGGCAGTGTAGTGCATATTTTCGATTCTTTTCCGGTAGACATGACAAATACCCTTTGTCATTTTGCCTAGTTGCAGTTTCAGCAGCCAGTTTCATAGGCACACAAATTGCAATGAGCAACACTTGTCAGCCGAGCGCAATGAATAATGAATGCTCACTCACTGGTGAGCCTTGTGCCTTCCTTATCGATAATCGATAATTGCGCAGACAACAAAAACACTGGGAAAAAGTGAGGAAAAGAAAAAGAACGAGACACAGTTTGGCTAATCGAGCAGCAAGACATTGCCAAAAGTGATGCCACTGTCGCATGCAAATGCCCACTTCGCCGCCGCGGCTAATTCTCTCACTCTCATTCTTTATTTCGTATTTTCTCTCTCTTTTATTCCCCGACACTTGTCCCCAACTCAGACCCGCCTGTCTGATGAGTTTGTTTAATTAGTTTGTCTTGTCTGTGCAAGGCCCGCGACAGCATCGACTCTTTCTTTTTCTGTCAGTTTGTCTGCACGCTCTAATCGGATAAGGGTAATAAGTGGAATCGCTTCTAATGTCACTATTGCACTGTCAATAAGCACTGACAATACCATTGCAGTGCAGATTCGACACGTCACAGGAGACGGTGAGCTTTGGAGACAGAGAAAAAGGGGAACTGATAGGAAACACGATGCCAACTGGCAGGCTGATGCGATAGAACTGTAACTGCACTTTCTGAGCGGAACTGCATCAGGCAGAAAATGTACTCCTTTAAGCTTTACCCTGTACTCTCTAACTAATCTTAAGAAAGTGCAAACTTAATTGAAAGGAAAGCCTGTTTCTGCAGAATCGCTACCGTGCAGTGATAAGGAAAAAATTCAGTCAAGCTGCAACTGCCACTGGCTTCTGGAACCACATGCTTACGGAACAGTTTTAAACTTGTTTCAACTTTCTTTTTAAAAAGGAAGTTTTTACAAAAGGTAAAAATAACAAAGGAAAAGAAGAGCGTCATTTTCTTTGGTAAAACAAAAGCCCGACAAAGTTTTGGCAAGTGATGATGGCACAAATGTAACACTGCGGCGCACTGCCGTTTCTTAATGGATTGCAGACACACTGCCGTAGACAGTACAGCAAATGACGCTTCGGAAGCTTCGGTAGAAAACAAGACAATGGCAGTGTCAGATGACGATTACCACCACATTTGCAATTCAAATTACTTAATTGTGCCTCGGGTTAATTGTTCCCAGTGATCGGCCAATAGACACCAACAAACCGATACAGAGAGTTGTGGTTAAGAGTTGCACCGAAACGGCGCCAGTAAGGGCTGCCAAGGGAATATAAGTGAATTAACCCAGGCAGTGTTCAATTTGCAAGTGAGCACTGCCGTTGAAGTGAAAGTGCTCACTCAAGTAGGAGAAGGTTTCCTTTGTCTTCCCTTTGCCGTTCTGTTGTCTTCTGCCCCGCTGGGTTGTCGTTGAAAGTTTGCACTTGATTAGACTTGATTTTGCCCTGTCTCACTTTTTCTCTCCTTCTCTGATCACTGCCCTGCCATCACTGACATCGACAGCATCAGCCCTTTAGCTCAAAATAGATGCAGCAGCAGCAAGAACAACAGCGGGATGCAAGAAAAGTTGCATTTTCACTTTCCCTCCCACTTTCTCATTTTAAGAGTGAATCGTAATTAGATTGACATGTTGTAGTTGCTCGTGCAATTGCCAATTGGCAGCTCACTAGCTTCGCTAAACTGCCAGCGTAAAGGAGTCCCAGTTTAATTGGATTAATCTTTTTAAGTTGATTAACGCTCAATGACGACCGATTCTCTCTTTTCTAGGCAATGGATATATTGAAGGCTGCGAATTGGATGATTTTCTGCGCGAGTTTGTTTCCTCTGTAAACGCTACCGACGTCGGCCCTGAGGTTTGTGCCATATTTTTTGTTTAATCTTTGTCCTAAAAATGTACTTCGCTACCTAACTTAAAACATTGAGTAAATAATTAAAACACTCCTGTTGAAGTACTGGCGAAAAATATTTCCTTGCTAATTAGATTGTTTTTCAACCACCAGGTGGTTACGGACACCATGTTTGCCGAGCTTAAAGAGTGCTTTATGGAGGCCTATGATGACAATCGCGATGGTAACTGTTAAAAGAACATTGTATAACAAGGATTTCATTTTTAATTTTGCTTTTTAATTTTTAGGTAAAATCGAAATTCGTGAGGTAAGTGACATTTGCTTTTTTCATGTTGGCTAAAAGCCAACAAGCTAAAGAGGATCAACAATGGTAGTAGTAAAAGTAGTAGTAGTAGTAGAAGAGGGACAAAACACAGGACAAAATACAACAGCAGATAAAGCAATAGTAAAAGCCAAAAGCAAGCGTGTAAAAGCGCAGGCACCCGAGTGCTGATGACACTGGCGCAAACAAAAGAAACAGCAGCAGCAGCAGCTATTAGTCGCATGGTCGACATTGCACTCTAAATAATTAACTCGACACTGCCAAAGAGATTAAAGAACAGTGGTGCCGTTCGGAAGGGCACCAGCTTGCTCCAGTCTGGGCACCTCCAGTGCCTTCCATTGCTCCCGCTGCTGCTGCTGCTGCTGCTGCACCAGCACCGTCAGCTGAGCACACCACGCGTTCACTGCCTCGATGGCCATTAGGTCAGATTACCATTGGCAGGAGGTATTCATTCAGAGCCTGCAGCCAGCGCGTCTATCATCACCGGCGGAGGAAAAAAGCCGTTAGAGTGAAAAGAAATGGCACAGGCGTGCGCGCACCCACACACCACATGCCTCGACAGTGAATTCACTTATCGTCTGATAATTGAATATGTCGTCGGTAAATCAAGGCGCAATGTGCCATTGAATTATTTAAACGCTAATCATGTTAATTTGTTGTGCGTTCTGGCAGCCTACGCCATGAAATGGGCGCGAGCGCGAGCTAGCCAACTCAATACACCATTTTCGTGCTGAATGCATGAATCTTTGATAACATTTTAAAATCTTCCACATGTCGTCTTAATATGCGCGCCTGCACTTGCTGGCTCTAGCTTTTCCGCGGCTTCTCACAAATGAGCGCCACTTTTCCGTTCTGACAGTGTTTTGGCAGTGACAGGACGAAAGGAGCTCCTTTCAACGGCGCTAACCACCAAAAGTCAACCACAGAACAGGACCGACAGTGATGACTGAAAGCCAAAGCTCCTTTCGCTTGGCTAGACCAACTGTTTGCAACTGTTGGCTTACTTGTTTACATTTTCTTTCATTCATTCTTTCCTTCTTTTTTTGGGCGCCACGCACTGCTGGCGCTGATATTTTTCATCACCAGGAGAGGAAAGGAAATTGTGTTGTAAGCTTGTGCAAAGACGGTACACCTCATCCTATGTTCCCCGTGCGCCAGCTCGCAAGAGCAAACACGAGTTTGGGCTGCTGCTGCTGTTTTGTCCTGTTCAGTGCTTTCAATTGGAGTTTTGGAGCACCCGAGCACAAAGCACACAAACACAGACACACACCAAATAGCGCATACAGGCAGTGAACACTTGCCTGCAATGCTTTTTTGCGTCCATGAAACAAAACACCAGTGGGCTATACTCCTTTTGCGCCTTGATGCCGCAGAAGGGGTGCAAAAGTGCGCAAATTATTAATTATTTTCCAAATTTCAGCTGTTGTGAAAGGCAGTTTAGATGAATTATATTATTATTGTTGTTATAAAGTACTACAATGAATTGAAATGCATTTTTTAATTAACCTCATTGTGTGTGTGTTGATGCAGTGAGGAAAGTTGTGAAGGGTCGCACTGGTGCAGCAGAGCTGCTGCTGTTGATGGTGAGATCGTGCACTAGGCATGCTAACGAGTTAGGGCAGAGTGCTCAGCACAAGCAGTGCGCCAATGCCCAGCAGTTTGGCAGCCCAGTGGAAGCGGCCACTTAAAGTGACGACCTAATCGGACAATGTGCGACGCACTTTTCATCATTTAAAAGTTGGCCAAATTGACCCGGACAGCGATCCTTGTGGGGATCACTGATGCTGACGCTGATGCTGCCGGCGGCTGCTGCCTCTTTTCTGCCAAATCGTCGGCCACTTCGGTCCGGCCGAAAGCCAGGCAGTTGCACTTGGCAAACACACAGACCACTGCGCTTTCCCTTATTTTTCTTGAGCAGTGCAAACCACTTTTTACTAATGCCACCGCCGCTTTACACCTCTCCCCATTTGCAGCTGCCTCGCCGTTCTGACGAATGGCGCTGAAAAGAAAATGAGAAACCGAGAGTGTTTTCCAAATAGCCGACGTGAAAAGTTAAAAATTATGAGAAAATAATATATTTTATAATACTTTACAATTCAAATGCAATCTCTAGTAGCCCGAATGTGCTGTCTGTCTGTTTGCTCGCGCTCAAGCAAGATGCACTGGGCAAACAAAGGCGAGCACGCAGTGTTGTTTTTGTTTAGGCTCACAGACACTCAATTTATTATGATCGTCACAAAGTAATTCGGCCATTCGATTGTATTAGTGCAAATTGTATTGTCGCAAGTGGCAGTCAAAGGAAGACGATGCAGCGATTCAATGGTCGCCTAGTCCCTTTACTCCCTCAATTTTTCTTTCTTCCTCTGCCCCGTCCATCTGCTCTGCCTGTCAGTGCAGTTCAGTTTGTGCATCGATGTGCATTGCTAAATCGCTTATCTATTTGCTCATGTTTTGCCCTTTCCATTCCCAAACTGCTGCATTGAAATGCCACCAACCAAACAAAAAACAAAAAAAGTAGCAAGACCCAGTTGCATTTGTGCAGTTCTCGTGCACACACACACTTACCAAGAAACGTGTGCAAACGCTGCATCTTTTCTCCTCGTTGATTTATTCCTCTCTATTCTATTTATTTTTGCCGCTGTTTACACTGAAAAACTTTACTTTCCTATCTTTGCAGTTGGCGCAGTTGCTTCCACTTGAAGAAAGTTTCTTGCTGCTGTTTCGATTTGATAATCCGCTCGATTCTAGCGTCGAATTCATGAAGGTAAGTGATGAGTGCAAGACTTTGCAGCAAGCAAGCAACCAACCAACCAACCAATTTTTCACCAAAAGTGGTGATTGCTCTTTTTGAAACACTGTAGTGTTTGGGCAAACACTACAGGCTGTAGTCAGCCTGATAGTAACAGCAGTACAGGGCCAATATTTGGTGATTCAGACGATTCAGTCCCACATACAGTAATTGTCGCTTTTTATTGACACAGATTTGGCGCGAGTACGACACCGACGGAAGTGGTTACATCGAAGCGGACGAATTAAAGGTACCGTGTTTTACTGTTTGCTTTGAACTGCGGAGAGACAATGTAGAACACTGACCGACTGTTTCAACTGGAGCATCAACTGTGCCGCCACCGCTTAATGGCATTACTGGCAGTCATCACCAGTGGTGAATTGCTTAATTTGCCGACAAAGTGGCGCTCAGCTGTGTTCATAAGTCGTGTCCAGTGGTAGCAGTTGTGTCCTTCTCCGCTGTGTAGTGTCAAGCAGTGAGCGTTTCTCCTCTCTTCCCACCACCAACCTAATCGGCTCTGTGTTTGTGTGCAGAATTTCCTGAAAGACCTCCTCCGCGAAGCTAAGCGCGACACGCTCGACGAGGACAAGCTGATCGAATATACAGACACTCTATTGCAGCTCTTTGATCAAGACAAGAATGGCAAGCTGAATCTCTCGGAGATGGCAAAGTAGGTATCGGGAAAGGGAATTGTCTAGAATGCGTCAGGGGCTCAGGGCAAGGGGAGATCAGAAAGTTGGCGCCAACAGTGAGCAGTCTGCCTGACAAGGTTGCTGCTGCTGCTGTTGTTGCAGCTGTTGTTGTTGTTCTGCGAATGTATTCAGTGAATTGTTTTCTCAGCGCCTTCAGTCGCTTTTCTTTGGTCGCTGGTCTGTGTCAAGTGTGTGCAAATCTGCTGGCTAGGCAGCAATTGCACAGTCGATGCGATTGATGGGCAGACGATGGAGGCAGATTGCTGGAGGATGCAGACTGATGCTTCCGAGAAGACGGGCAGAAGAAACAAAGCCATCAGCATCAGCATCAGCACCACAGACAAGATCGTCGCCAGCAGACAGTAATTGATCGAGTGCAGAGGCGGCCTGCTGAGTTGTCTGCTAGCCACCAGAGCAATCGACAACAGCAGCAGCAGTACCAACAAACCACAGCAGTCAAAATGTACGGCAGTGAAATCACGGGCAGTCTTTCTGCAGTGTTAGTGTGGTGTAGCAATAAGCACACTCACACACATTCGATTATATTAGAAATTAGGAAATCTAATTTTCATGAGTGTGCCTGTGAGCAGCATTTGGCCGAGTTAGAGGATTTATCGACGCAGGCAGCGACATTAGTGGTGGGCTTAAGTGCATGTACCACCACTGCCGGTAGTTACCCCGTCTGCTCATTGACTATAATCGAGCCATTTTAAGTGAACATGACTCAAACGGGTCCATTGGATTGCCGTTGATTCCGTTGATGCCGTTGATGTTGCTGCTGCTGCATCACAAGGGGCTAAAGAACATTGCGCGATGACAGGCCAAAAAGTGAAACTCAATTTATTATATTATTGGGAGAGGGAATGGGAGGGAGGGAGAGACAATTGTGAATGTGTTTTAATTAAACTTCACTCAATTGGCAAAGCATCCGCTGGCAGTGCAGATGACGTCTGGCTGGCCTGCAGTGAGTCGTCCTCGCGGACGATGACTGAGTGGCTGCCGGCTGTACGATTGTTGTACCAGTGCTGTGGCAGCTGTAGTACTGTCGCCATCATTCCTTGCCGCAGCAGTCATGTTGCATGTTTGCCACACTGATCATTTCCACTTTTCATCCTGATCAACTCTCATGTTCATTCCCTTACTTTTTTCCCTTTCTTTTCTTTCCTCCCTAGGCTGCTTCCCGTGAAGGAGAACTTCCTCTGCCGTCAGTCTTTTAAGGGCGCCACGAAGCTGACTAAAGAAGAGATTGAAAGCGTCTTTGCCTTGTACGATCGGGTAAGTTGATGTCAGCGATGATGTTGGCTGCTAGCATTAGTGTCTCGCTATCTGCCGCCGTTTTTTATTTTATTGTTGCCGCTAATCTGCTGGCGCTGCTACGGCCGCCATTGCCGGCAAGACGTTTGCCATCAATCTATCACCGAATAAATGCACTGTCAAGGCTGACATTGTCAATAGCACTTGGCTCCACTGCAACCTTACCGATGCTCTGCCGTCCATTTCCCTTTACTACACCGCCACCCTTTGAAGGCAATCAATCTTAAAGGGTTAACTTGTACGGCAACTGTGCACTTTCTCTCTCGTTTGCTCACTCAGAGCACACTTTTACAAACGCAGTTGAATGATTAGGCAAATTAAAATTATATCAATTGCCATTTCCATAATGCCAGTCTTAATGTACTTTTAATATCATCACCGAGCACACTTTCACCGCGGCAGTTTGAGATAGCACTGGCTTAAAATCAGCATCGAGACCATTTTAGTAGACAGTGAGGCAGGTGAAAAGCAAAGCGGCAAAGCCTGAAACTCGTAACTGGCGCTGCTCCCCACTAAGTACGATCGTGTTAATTAGCAGTAGACAGACGGAGAAGTAGAAGAAAACTGGCTGCCTGGTACAGCAGTCAATTAGCAGGCGACGATGACATTTGCATGGTGTGTAGAAGCAAAGACGCTTTAGGTGGTAATGCTCGTCACCACTTGAGGGCAAGATTCGACCAGCCATGGTGAAGAAGGACCTGCAAAGAGCGAGATAGCAAAGAGAACATGCAAATTCGATTGCGCCTCCAGTCGAGTCCTGTATGTGTAATGACACTGGCCAAGAACACTGACACATAATGCACTGAGGGCAGTAGTGTCTGACAGGAGGAACAAGGGAGTCAGGGGAGAAGGACTGAGAAGTGAGAGTGAGTTTGGGGCAGCCGTGCCTGACGTTCTCTAGCTCGGATTATGTGTGAGTGTGCTTGCCTGTAATCACTTAGCGAGCAGTGAACACTGCACAGTGAAGCGCCTTGTTTTGTAAGAGGCAATTAACCGTGCACTGCAATCCAGTGCTCTATCGACTTTAACTTTAATGGCACTGTCAAGAAAAAAGGGAAAANCAGTGAAGCGCCTTGTTTTGTAAGAGGCAATTAACCGTGCACTGCAATCCAGTGCTCTATCGACTTTAACTTCAATGGCACTGTCAAGAAAAGAAGGGAAAGGAGAGGAAACAGTGGCCTTTGCTGATGCGCCTCTTCAGCAGTGCACCCGCTCACTAATTGAGCGGCAGACAGTTGGGCCAGCTAATAAGCAATGTGTTCTCTTTGTTCAACTTCCTTAATCGCCGCCAATCGATTGCAGCGCTTGAACAGTGAATAATTAAAAGTCCATTGCTGAATAAATACCAAGGGGAACACAATAGGAGGAGAGGGAAGGAGGGAACAGCAAACTTTAACAGGGGCACGAGATCATCATCAAAGAATATATTGGCAATGTGTTCACTCACTTGAAGGCAGTGAAGAAGTGTGGGAGTGTGTGTGTCCAGCGGTGAAGTGTGTCGGTGAACACTGACCACTGGACCGTCCGATCGCATATTTAATTAGTGCTAATGACACGTAATAGCTTTATCTCATTGCCCTCTGCTGACGCCAGCACTAGTCAGACCGCAGTGGACAGCCCCATCAGCAGCTGTAGCAGCTGAGTAGCGAGGAAAAGACGGAAAGACGGTCCACTGCAACACTGCAAATGATGACGGTATTAATGGCGCCGAGGCTGTTTGGTGGTGGTGGTCATAGCTCTGACACTGCACTGGCACCAGCCTGTGCCGCCAACACTGTGGCCCCTAACAAATGGCCGCAAGTGCGGCAGACAGGACACAGCGCAACGACACTGCCAAAGTTGGGCAGAAGTGGACAAAGAGTGCACGCCGAAAGATAGCATGAGGCACAGAGGGAGCAGACTGTGGCAGATTTGCCAGTTTATTTGTCCGTGTGCGGCGGCCATCTGTTTTTCATCTCGCATAATGGTTACACACTAGCACACCATCGCTGCGAGGTTAATTACATTGTTTGCTGGTTCATGTGTGCCCTTGCCAGCCACACAACACCGACAACACGGACAGGCATTGCCTGTGGCCCCTTTTGGTTCACTTTTACTGCCATTGCTGCTACCGTTTTTACTGCCTATACCTGTGTCTGTTGTGCGGGCTTTATNGTTTGCTGGTTCATGTGTGCCCTTGCCAGCCACACAACACCGACAACACGGACAGGCATTGCCTGTGGCCCCTTTTGGTTCACTTTTACTGCCATTGCTGCTACCGTTTTTACTGCCTATACCTGTGTCTGTTGTGAGGGCTTTAGTTTCAGAAAGTAAAGAAAAGTGAAAATGGTCTTTTTGAAACAATGTGCCTGCCCTATCAGGTGCAGCAGGCAGTGAGAGTAGTAAAAACACAATAATAAATCAATCGCACCGATTTCCCTCAACTTTTACCTTTTTCTGGTCTATTTGCCTAAACCTGTTTCCAAACTTTAGGACTCTGGTACTTGACAAAATCAATTAGATCGTTCATACGTGCGCTGTGCAAAAGTGCACTTGCTCAAACCCAAAACCAAGCTACTTTGCTCAAACAAAAATGGCTTTGCTTGCTAATTTAGAACGGGTTTAGTCTGGATTTACTTTGCCTTTATTTTAGCCTATTTCTAGTTTTGCAAGCACAAGAGCAGTTGGTGTGTTTGTATTGATTTGTCACTTCATNTGGATTTACTTTGCCTTTATTTTAGCCTATTTCTAGTCTTGCAAGCACAAAAGCAGTTGGTGTGTTTGTATTGATTTGTCACTTCACTGCTGCTCTATTGCCCTCGTCTCTTGCCATTGCCTGCTGCTCTGACCAGTACCGGCCAGTGCAGGCAAGCGGAATAGCTGCTTGGGAAATCAAGTGGTTCAATAATAGATGGGCATATTTAATTAAAACGCCTCAATGCTACTAACACACACACACATAGATACTCAGACACATGACTACACTGACGCTGTTTAGCAGCAACTTTATAATTCATAAATAATTCTGCACTCTCATTGAATGGCACTTCTCACTCAAACGCAAATTGTTTTTTTGTCTCATCTCCAGGACAAGAATGGCACCATTGAAAACGAGGAGTTGAAGGGATTCCTGAAGGACCTCCTTGAGCTGGTCAAGAAGGCAAGTACAGACATTGTTGAAACAAGCTTGTCTACAAGCAAAACACCTGCTTCATTGCTCATCATTATTATTAATGTCTTTATCTGATTGAATTTCTCTGCCCAGGACTATGATGCGACGGATTTGCAGGAGTTCCAAAAGGCTATTCTCTCTGGTTGCGACTACAATAAGGACGGCAAAATTAACAAAAAGGTCAGTGCTATTCATCTTTTGTTGCTAATTTTATTTAAACTTTGAAATTGCCATTGTACATAAAATCACACTTCTATTTTTGAAACCTACTAACAGGAACTGACCATGATTCTTCTGGCGCTGTCAAAGCACTCACAAGAATAAATGGCATCCCGGGCAGTGACCACCACTACCACCACCACCACTACTATTACCAGCACCATCATATTGCACTCATCGGACACTACACAAGCACACACAGACATATGTAGATTGAGGCTGTAAATCACTTTAGAATAATAATGGCTGTGCAGTTTGCAAGTCAAACCAAGCACATTCACATACACATAGAAAAAATTCGCACACATCACAGCTTGCCGACAAACAGAGTCATCCAAAGAGCCGGTCCAAAAAGTGGGCTCTCCATCCATCTTTCCTGAGCAGCTGACTGCACCGAAAAGCACGATCACCTGCCAGCAGTAGTAGTAGCAGCCGCAGCCGCATCAACAGCAGTCCCCCGTAGTCGGACCATTATCGTACCGAGGTCGCCCGCTAATTTAAACTTATTACCTAGCCAAGGTTGCATCTTCACAAGCCAGTCAATCAATGAGGCAGTCTAGTTCCTGGTGAGAGCACTGCTGCACTGCGCGCCACAGTGTCATTGCCTGGTAAATAGTGGTAAACATCAGCAGCAGCAGCAGCAAAAGTTGCCGCTGGGAGCGCAATCGATTTGCTGGAAGACGCCACCACGTTTGTCATTCCATCAATTTCAATTGTCAAACACAGCTATTGGCATGGGAGCGCCCCTTCTCCGTCTTCTGTTTCTTTTCTGCCACTTCTTTGATTTCTCCAGCTCCCTCGGCGTCTCCCGCGCGGTGGTTCTGCACCATCACCACCGCCATCACCACCGCCACCACCTCCACTACTACCGCCACCATTCGCCACGGGCCATGCTTCAGAAGAAGAAGAAGAGGCAGAATACGAACAGTTTGAAAGACAGTGAAGCATCCTTCCCGACTTTAATCATCTCAATTATCCGCAAAGCATCGCTAGTGGGTAGTGTGCCAGCTAACACAGTTTTTGCAAACATTCTTGTTGTTGTATCACCCATCAACCGCACTTAGTGACAGTGCCTGCACCTGCACTGCTGCCTGTACCACCTCCTCCGACCATCATCGACATCATCCCCTAGCTGCCTGCTTACATCATTCCCTCTCTGTCGCCCAAATGATCGATAGTATCCAATGCATGTGTGTTGTGTGTGTGTTTGTGTGTGTGTGAGTGTGCGAGTGAANCTAGCTGCCTGCTTACATCATTCCCTCTCTGTCGCCCAAATGATCGATAGTATCCAATGCATGTGTGTTGTGTGTGTTTGTGTTTGTGTGTGTGTGCGAGTGAGAGGGAGGCGTTCTCCTGTCTGCCGACCGAAACAGGTAGAAAGAAGGCAGTGGGCTCCAGCGACTCTGTTTGTCTCCCACTGGGCGCCAGACTCAATCAATGAGGCGTTAATTGGCCTGCTATTCGAATAATCTCATCGCTGGCAGTGTTCGAAACCAGTCAGAAACGGCCACGCAGAAAAGGAGAGGACGCACGTTTGCACTTGCACTGCTGCCGTTTCCACGTCACGGGCGAGGCAATTAGTGATTTGAAGGGTGCAGTGCAAGTCAACTTCTAATTGAATTGCCTTGTATAGTCAGTGTAGTGCACTAACTCGATTAGCCATGTTGCATTCTTCTCCCCTTTTCGCTATTTCCCTTTCTCTCTTGTTTTTTCCGTTTCCCTCACTCAAGTAATCAAGGTGCCAATCTTTATCATCCACTGCAACCATAATCAAAGACACACACACAACACAACAGAAACGCAAACTCAGACACAGACACACTCACTCGGTGACGATAACGACAACAACAATGAACATAGAACAAGCGAGTATCCAATCGACGATCTTTAGCTCATAATTGAGCCAATCGGCATCTCGTGGATCGCAGTGAGGAGAATCTTCTGTGTGGCACAGCCCACCATTGTTCTCTCCATCCCATTCAATGTCACCACATTCAGTACCACTACCCCAATCGCCATCTTCAGCAGCACATGAATGCATATTCTTATCTGTTTTTTGCATTTGATGTACCAAAGTCACCTCTGCAATTTACACAAACACACACACACAAAACCACTTTCATGTTCCCTTTGTCTTTAACTGCAGTGGCGCAATTAGAGACGCCTGCAGCACAACCAATAACAATAAAGCAATTCAACTTACACAAACAAACTGACCACTGGCGATGACGAACTTTCCCCAATGGGTGCATCCTTATATTTTTTTTCCCAAACTTCCTTGCAGCTCAATCGATCGATTGTGTGTGCGTGTGTACAAAAAAAACGCAATGGCTTCCAACGCAGATTCACTCTAGGTTCTCCAATTCAAATTCTCAGAGCTGGACTCCATTAGATTTATTGGTAGGCGATGTTCTGTGTGTGCCCTGTTTTTGCACACTGCTTACTTGGAATATATCGACGGGAACACATTCCTCAGCCTTTTTCTTCTTTCTCCTCAAACACGAGACTACAGCCACAGTGCAGTGGCGCATCGTACAGCATTTTTTCATTGCAAATTCGCTCCTTTCCTCCTATCGACTTTGGCAAATTATCTGAAATTAAAATACTAAAGCATTCCAGTTATGTTTGCAAAAAAAAGACTGAAAGCAAATAACCGGCAGATAATTCTCAAAAAGCTCAGCTAGGCCAGCTAACTGGAACTGCATTATCACACTCATACAAATTCATAAGCGCTAGCTCACTTGCTCGCTCTTTTCTATTCATTGATTTCGAACAAGCAAAAAAAGGCAGTTCGAAATGGATAGAATAAAGAAGAGCAATCGCCTAATAAGACTAACTGCTATTCTATTGCCTCACTTCAGTGCTGACAGTGCCATTCACTTCATTGCCTTTGGCAGCTCTGTCTTTGTCCATCTGTAACAGCATCAGCACAATTAGGAACTTGCCATTAAGCAGTGAATTAGCCCGATCACCACCACCCGCCGCCGCTTTTGCCGCTGTCGTCATCTTCAGTGCATGGACACAAGCCCACTGATTGCATCCATCAAGGAACAACTAGACTCACTAGGCCGATTGATCAACAGCAGTACTCTGGCCATGCAAGTAATTGACATTTCTTTGCGATTTCTTTTCATGCAGTGTCATCATCATCGGCTCAAGTGGCCGATGGCTTTCCTTTCCGCCTCTGTCTCCACATGACTTGAACTGGTCATTTTCCGGCAGTTCACCATTGACTTTGTGGGTCTGTTTAATTATATTTTCCCTTAATCATAGTTCAGACTGCTCAATCAGCAGTGACTAACGAAGCCGATCGCCACTCTCAATGGCAATGGCCAAAACTGTGCACCGGCTTACTTAAAGAATGAAAAAGTGATCAGGACAGTCAGTGAGCTTGGCTCCCAAAGATAAGTGCAATTAGTCGACGAGCAGCCATGCGTCAGTCATCCGCCGACGACGACGGTGGCTTATCGACGAGAAACACTTTTGTCACTTTCCCTTCTTTTGCCGACAAGGTCGAGCTTGTCTCCGAAGCTGCGACATTCGATCGAGTGCTGTTCGGTGCTCTTCAGTGAGCCGAACGGTGTAGATCCTCCGACAAGGCAGGCAGTGTAAGCCTGTTGTTCTTCACGACACGACCAGTTGGTGTAAACTCGACAGAGAACGGTGTAGATGTCTTTTTCTGCAGGCAGTATCAATTGGCTACCACTGTACTGGTCGTCCCTCTCTCTTTCTCTCGTCTGACAGTGAAACAAGTTTGTCGTACTGTGCATGCTAATCACCGTCATGTAGCCCATTGGCAGCAGCAGTCCATTTGCCGTCGTACCATGTCAAACTACCAGAGCTGCTTTCAACTGTTCGCGTACAAGAGTACATTGCTATATACTGGCGCTGCCTGCCTGGCACACTTGGTGCTCTCTGGTGTTGGTCGGCGGTAGGAATACGCCGAAAAAACAGGCCTGCGAGTAGAGGGGAATTGACAGTCACGTATCAGTGAGACGGCCAGACACTCACTTGCACTGGCAGTCACTTCACTCGTCTTTCAGTCGCTGTCGTCAGTCTGTGCACTTCTTCCCTCCACTAACACACTGCTCTCCCTCTCTTTGTACGACTATTCAGGTTCACAAGAAGAACATGTCAGGCAAGAGCAACAGTCAACTGCTGCACCTCGGTCACCAGGCGGTGCTGGAGAGTGAGGCCCGACCGGTGCCAGGCAGCCTCACCCAGGATGCGGCCTTTGCCAAGCTGCGCAAGTACCACCAGGAGAATGCCGCCAACCTCAACCTGGTGGACCTCTTTGCCAAGGATTCAGGTCGCTTTGACAAGTACCAGTAAGTTTTGACAGATGACAACATCAGTGACATTACTAACCTCTCCTTCTCACTCTCTTAGTCTCACGTTGGCCACCGACAACAATGGCTTCTTGCTGTTTGACTACTCGAAAAACCTGATCAACGATCAAGTTCTTCAAGGTTTGCTGGAGCTGGCTCGCAATCGTGGCGTCGAAAAGATGCGCGACTCGATGTTTGCCGGTGAAAAGATCAACTTCACGGAGAATCGTGCCGTCCTGCACATTGCCCTGCGCAACCGATCAAACCGTCCAATTTTGGTTGACGGCGCCGACGTGATGCCTGAGGTGAACCGTGTCCTGGCAAAGATGGAGCAGTTCTCGAAGGATCTGATCAGCGGCACCTGGACTGGCTACACAGGCAAAAAGATCACCGATGTTGTCAACATTGGCATTGGCGGCTCTGACCTTGGCCCGGTCATGGTGACCGAGGCACTGAAGCACTACCAAGTGGGCCCCAATGTGCACTTTGTCTCCAACATCGACGGCACCCACCTGGCGGAGACCGTCTCCAAGCTGAACCCCGAGACGACGCTCTTCATCATCGCCTCGAAGACCTTCACCACCCAGGAGACGATCACCAACGCCGAGTCGGCCAAGGCCTGGTTTCTCAAGACGGCCAGCGACCAGTCCGCCGTGGCGAAGCACTTCGTCGCCCTGTCCACCAACAAGGAGAAGGTGACCGCCTTTGGCATTGACCCCAACTCGATGTTCGAGTTCTGGGACTGGGTGGGCGGGCGTTACTCGCTCTGGTCGGCCATCGGTCTCTCCATCAGCGTGCACATTGGCTTCGATAACTACCGCCAGCTGCTGGAGGGTGCCCACTACATGGATGAGCACTTTCGCCGCACGCCGCTGGAGAAGAACCTGCCCGTGCTGATGGGCCTGCTCGGCGTCTGGTACATCAACTTCTACGGCGCCGAGACGCAGGCCATTCTGCCGTACGACCAGTACCTGCACCGATTCGCCGCCTACTTTCAGCAGGGCGACATGGAGTCCAACGGCAAGTACGTGACTCGAAGCGGACAGACGGTCAACTACTCGACCGGACCGATCGTCTGGGGCGAGCCGGGCACCAATGGTCAGCACGCCTTCTACCAGCTGATCCACCAGGGCACTCGCCTCATTCCCTGCGACTTTATCGCCCCGGCGAAGACGCTGAACCCCATCAGCGGCGGTCTGCACCACACAATTCTCCTGGCTAACTACCTTGCCCAGACGGAGGCGCTGATGAAGGGCAAGAGCAGTGCTCAGGCGGAGGGAGAGCTCCGCCAACAGGGCAAAACCGAGGAGCAGATTGCCAAGATTCTGCCGCATAAGGTCTTTGAGGGAAACCGGCCGACTAACTCCTTCCTCGTGGACACCTTCACGCCCTTCAACCTGGGTGCGCTCATCGTCGCCTACGAGCACAAGATCTTCGTGCAGGGCGTCATCTGGGACATCAACTCCTACGATCAGTGGGGCGTCGAACTGGGCAAGGAGCTGGCCAAGGCCATCGAGAAGGACCTCAAACAGGAGGGCACCGTCCAGTCGCATGATAGCTCCACCAATGCTCTGATCAATCTCATCAAAAGTCTCAAGTAAAGTCTCCAGTACTTAGATCTTAGATCGAGTCAGACTTTAGCATTTAATGTCTTGAGTTTTTGAGTTTACTTTGTTGTGTCGGACTGTTAGTTGTGATCAATAAAAATTGTACGTTACTGAAAACATGGCAACTGAAAGTGTAAAAGTAAAAGTGGAAAAATTAAATAAAAACCGGCTTTCCATTCTCGCTCGTCACGCCATCTTTTATCTCCAAGTGAGTCAACTCAAAAATCACATGTGTGTTTACAAAACCGCTTTTTTGCAAACCACATGTGACAAAAACTCAAGACAAAATGTCAAACCAACTGTGGACCATTTTTCCGGATGTGGTGAGCTCCCAGCTAGTCGACGTACTCGACGCCACTTGCATATGTGATCAGAAGAATGAACAAATTGCCAAACTCGTCAGCAGACAGCTGTTCTCACAGACAATTCAAATCGTTTCGGAGAGTGCACAACTTAAAGAAGCCGTCCGTGATTATGTGGCCGAAACAAGTGAACTTGGTTTTCTTTTAGTCAAAGATTTGCCTATTTATGCGCTAATCGATCCTGCTTTTCTGAGCGCCTATGTCAAGAAAGGAAAGTTGTATGGCCTTACAGGTAAGACACATTAGGATTCTTTTCTCTTTTGCTCTAAAGTTTTGATTTATTTTCAGTAAATCGGGATGTCAATGTGGATGATACCGTGGCCTTGTTGCCAAATCAGATACTATTGCTCTCCGTGAATGCCGAATCCTACTACAAGCTAGGCCTAATAGGAGAAAAGTCAACTTTGAACAAGAAAAAGAACTTGGTGGAAAAGTACAGGATTACGATTGATCTTGGCCAAAAGTGTTTCAAAGCAGATAAAAAGAACTACCAACGAGTTCTTGAATGCCTTAAAAGAACGCAAATGAAATGCGATTTCATAATGAAGTGGACTCCACACAAAACAGGCATATCAGCCAACTCGCTTTTTCAGTATTTTGAACATGTCCAGAAAAATTCACCAGAAGATGTCCTACTTTCAAAAATATCTCTGCACAAATGCTATCCCGCTTTTAGGACCTTTACCAATAGAAAAGTAACATCTATATCAAATATCAATTCAAAATCTGAAGATTCAGTGAACAATTTCATTGAGTGGGTAAACGCACAGGTGGCAGAGGTTAACTGCGATGATATCCTTATCAACACTGCCGAGCTCTGTGATGTCCACTGTGTCGAAGTCAAAGGATTCTTCACCAGTTCGAATGTAAGCGAGTTGCTAGAAAAGTTAAAATCCTGCCTCTCAAACCAAGAATTCAGTGCGCTAGTCGTGCACGGATTTGAGGACAGTCCACAGTGCTGGAGTGGCAGAAACAACGAGCACTACAAAAACATCAGTGGCGAAAACATTTTGGGGATTGGCCAGTTGAAAGAGACCGTTTTATCCTGGTGCATCGTCGATGAGTACGACTTTGGAATTGAAAAACTGTAAACTTGTAACACTTGTTTTGTGATTTTTTTGAGAAAACGGCACTTTATAAAAATCAAACTTCAATGCGTAACGCACTATAGTAATCACCCCATATGGCCATATGCTTTGCATTNTTTGGAATTGAAAAACTGTAAACTTGTAACACTTGTTTTGTGATTTTTTTTGAGAAAACGGCACTTCNTTTGGAATTGAAAAACTGTAAACTTGTAACACTTGTTTTGTGATTTTTTTGAGAAAACGGCACTTTATAAAAATCAAACTTCAATGCGTAACGCACTATAGTAATCACCCCATATGGCCATATGCTTTGCATTTGGCAGCACCAAAACAGCACTTCATTTGACAATCAAAATACGTTTTTAGCAACAAAAAGTTTTCAAAATGGTTTGTTTATCATTGCATAAGCTAAATTGATAGAATANTTGGCAGCACCAAAACAGCACTTCATTTGACAATCAAAATACGTTTTTAGTAACAAAAAGTTTTCAAAATGGTTTGTTTATCATTGCATAAGCTAAATTGATAGAATTACTCCACAATGTATTTTCAGAGGAAATCTACTGGCCAAAGTTATAGACAGAGAAGAACAACTCGCAATGATCAACCTTTGCCTCATCTGAATGCCTTTGTTCACTGCACCGACGAATCAATTCTCTACATCAAAGAGGACATTGACACAATCATCGTCAGCTTGCAAACGGCCACACTGTCTGATCTTGACAGCATTAAGCGATCTCGAAGTCTGCTAGAAACACTATCATCATATCTCATCTCAAACAAGTCAAATCACTCGTTTAAATTTTCAATCAATTTTCTTGAACAGATTTTGTCATTAGACAAGCTTCTCCAAATCATCAACAGCACTTTGAAAACAGAGGTAGATAAACCAACAAAATCACTGTTGTACCATCTTCAAAATTTGACTTTGAAAAATATACGAAACTTGTTGAAAATTACTAGTGGCCATAAAGATGATGTTTATGCTGTGCTCTTAGAAAACTTACTCAATACCTTGATTCAAATTAAAGAACTCATCGCAAATACCGATCGGGAAAGTGATTTCGAAACAGCAATACAATTGGAGAGTGTTGCTTGCACTTTGCTCAAATGCATATTCTTTCTTTCCTCAAAGTGCGAGTTCAACATTCAAGAAATCAACAAGACGAGCTTATGCGGCCGGTACATTGGCATACTCCGGTGTTTTGCTTTCTATGGGCTAGACAACTATGACTTGAAAACAATGACCGTCGAGTTGTACCCTTCGCCCGTCAGTCAGTTTTTCTCCTCAGACTCGTCCGAGTCTTCGATGCCCAAGAAGAAAAAGGGTAAACTAGATGAATTTGATCTACTCGAAGATGACAGTCTGTTCAACACAACGAGCGTGTCATTTTCCACCTCCGAATACTCCTCTTCAGAGCTGGACGAAGAGTCCATTCGAATGACTCGTCGGGAGGTGCAGCACAATAAGAAAATCTACGGGAAGATGCGAATGCTCGCCTATGAGTCGCTTCAGTCGTCCCTTTCTATATTTGGCATTCGGCACGTCTTTGGCTTCTGGTCTTTCCTCTTTCCGGATGAGCCCAAATTGGCGGAAAACANAGATGAATTTGATCTACTCGAAGATGACAGTCTGTTCAACACAACGAGCGTGTCATTTTCCACCTCCGAATACTCCTCTTCAGAGCTGGACGAAGAGTCCATTCGAATGACTCGTCGGGAGGTGCAGCACAATAAGAAAATCTACGGGAAGATGCGAATGCTCGCCTATGAGTCGCTTCAGTCGTCCCTTTCTATATTTGGCATTCGGCACGTCTTTGGCTTCTGGTCTTTCCTCTTTCCGGATGAGCCCAAATTGGCGGAAAACACTCAGTTCAGTGTCCTGCTTACCATCGCCAAGGACACCTCTAATCGAGTCCGCACATCGGCACTCAACTTTATGTACAACTTTTTCAACTTTGGCAAACTGTTCATTCGCACGCTGGTGAACGAATCTGCATTCTCAAAACCCACCTCCACTAAAGCCTTCACACCTCTGTCCGTCTCACTGACATCAATGGTCAAGAAGCTGCATACCTTCTTTGAGCACATTCTACTGAAGGAATCCAACAGTGCAATTCTCATTTTGATATACAAAGTGATCTCGTTGANTTTGGCAAACTGTTCATTCGCACGCTGGTGAACGAATCTGCATTCTCAAAACCCACCTCCACTAAAGCCTTCACACCTCTGTCCGTCTCACTGACATCAATGGTCAAGAAGCTGCATACCTTCTTTGAGCACATTCTACTGAAGGAATCCAACAGTGCAATTCTCATTTTGATATACAAAGTGATCTCGTTGATTGTCGTCATCACGCCGTACAACAAACTGTCTACTGACATTCTTCATCCGCTGTTTTATCGCAACAGTTTCTTTCTCGACCACAAAGTTACCCAAATCAAAAACCTCTCTCTAGTGTTGTACGTCAAAATGTTCTCACCAGAGCTTCTCTCCAGGCCCTTTAGACAGTGGCTCGTTGAAAGCAAGACTGGTCTTGAAGTGACAAGCAAAGTATTCAAATGTTGCTTTGAGAACATTGAAAATCCCGACTACATTCTCCTGTGCATTGAATCGGTCAAATTNTTCTCTCCAGGCCCTTTAGACAGTGGCTCGTTGAAAGCAAGACTGGTCTTGAAGTGACAAGCGAAGTATTCAAATGTTGCTTTGAGAACATTGAAAATCCTGACTACATTCTCCTGTGCATTGAATCGGTCAAACTGCTAAGTGCATTTGTGAAGCACCACGGGCTGATGGTCGATCTGTTCAACAGTGAAGGCGCCGTCGGCGTGAGCATAGAATCAGTCAGCAAAGTGTCGATTGACACCATTCAAAACGAGCGATCGCTGACTAATCCAGTGCTGCAGAGTTTCATTTGCAAGTTTATTCACTCTCTGAGCATGCTGTTTAAGCACATTTGCAGTAAGGAAGTGAATTCTGATTCTGCTGAATCGTCGAGCAAGCTGCAGTTCATCAAGGGCTGGTTTCTGCAGGTCTTCTCCTCACGTCTCTTTCAGCTGGCTCTGGTCGACTTGGACATGAGTCTGGTGAAGGGCGCCACGCAGGTCACACTGATCAACGTCATCTCGCTCATTCCCGAGTCGGTGTTTGCGTTGATCGAACTGAACACTCACTACCACATCATCACCGTGCTGATGTCTCTCGCTCGGGGTGAGTTCTCCGAGATGACGCCCGACGAACAGGAGGAGCTGTCAATTTATACCAAGTCGGCGGCAATTCGATGTCTGAGCATCATTCAGTCGTTTGCCTGTTTATCCGACGATCTCTCGCTTACATTTGACCTGATTGGCATCTGCCTGGATGTGCTGGAGAAAAATGACAGCAGAAGCAAAACCCAGAAGAAAAAGGAGATATTCCTGCTTGAGCATTCTTCGTGGGCGCTGGCCAACATTTGCGATGCCATCAAAAAGAATCACCTAGAGATGGAGGTTGACCTTCCCTTACTGAACCGCATTGTCAGCTGTCTTCTCACCTGCTATGACAT